AGCTCTTCGAGCGAACGCCAGAATATTCAATCGGAAATTTTCGCCTCACGATGACCGTTCTTTCGTCCTCCCTCTTTCTTTCTGTCTCATCGCTCTTTTCATCCTGCCCCAATCATTACGTAATTCGTCCTTTTATACGATGGGATAAAAATGCAAAACAAGCGCCGCGCTCTCGGCTTACGTATCAACGACGACGACCACTGCAATTCGCGGGTCATCCCTTTTAATTTTTCCAGCACGACACAATGGACGCTGACGTAAGTCTCTCTCTTTAGGTATCGTCATCGCGCGAACGCCTACGATGATCATAATTCCGTGTAATTGCTTCGTTTATTAGCTTCTCTAGACATCCGGCTGTTTATTGAAGAGGGCGAGCGAGACAAGATGAACATCGACGACAAGCAATAAGCTTTTGTCGCATAGCCTCCGCCTCCTCCGCCAGCATCGCTGATCGAAAGGATCATCCCTTGCTTCACCTTGTCTCTTCCATCCATACGGACTATTAACTCTTAATAGACTCTGTTTCACGATATATCCCGTGAAATTCCATTCGACCGCTAAGATCTCTACAGAACCAAATAGTTATGCTATCACTTAACTCTTTTTTTTCTCATTAGTTTTTAAAGATTTAAATTGTTCAGATAATCTAGATCTGGGAGATTGAAAGAATCTCTTAATGTCGCCTTTTTCTGATAAATATGTTGATTTAATATTATGTTCTTCCATCAAATGTACAAGTAGGTTGCTAACCGTTTTCTTGTACCTATATATCTTTCGTTTATCAGAATGCATAAAACATATTTTACAGTATACCATACATGACATTTGTTAACTATAATGTTTTTTTCATTATCTTTAAGCATGCCAAAATATTCTCTGGCGACACTTTGAGTACGATTAGTTTCAATAAATACTACTAGATTTTTATTTTTTTTCAGATCACTGCTAATAGTTTCATCTGTAACATCATCTGGCTCATCATTATGCATTCTCTCTTCTGCACATTCATTATTAATAAACGACATTTTTTGCTTTGGTTAAAAATATATAAATATACTAAAAGTTATCGGATAGCTTTCGTATATTTTGGCGAGATTCTCTAATGTCTTAGAAGAATTGCTATTAATTGTACTTAACGATTTCTTATTGAGATATATTCTTTTAGATCTAACAAGACATTAAAGAATTCTGCCACTGATTTCAGATTTCAGGGATCATTTTTCAAAGTCTCGTGTGTATGTATATGTATGTATGTATGAGTGTATGTGTGGGTATAAATATGTATGTGATAGAATACTTACTATTTTATGATAAAATAATTCGAGTGACTCTGACAAGCACTTAGTACGGACTTCAACAGCAACATCAACATAAATTCCACCAAACATCGAATCTTCTCTTCAGCTAGAATATTTTCACGCGGATGAAATATTGTCGACAGAGCGACACTTTCCTAGTTCCCCGTCTTCCACGTGTCTGATCCTGAAAAAACGTCGTCACGCGATAATTTCGATATCCTGCGATTGTGTAACGTTCGCATTCCGCGTTTTCACGACACGATGTATCTGTTTAATGACAAAGAACAAAAAAACAGACCCGATGAATTAATCCCGTTGTCACATCTTACACAAACTTTCAAACAGTCAAAACTGAGTAAAACGTATTCATCAGCTTCATCTATCTCTATTCAGTACCGACCGATTAGAGTTCTCAAATCAAAACTACGCAGGATTGTTTTTATTTGGCGCGCCACATTAATTTTCGGCGGCGGCGGCGTGTGTCGAAAATATCAAAATCGGCGGTGGCGAAATCGATGGACGATAATTTACCGGCGGCGGCGGCGTGGCGCGGCGGCGCAAGGATCTAGATCGATGTTTTAATGGAAGATGATAGAATTTGCCTTATCTAAGTCCCCACTGATTCGTACCAAGGAGGACCAGCGCCTACCGGCTATTGTCTCGGAGCGTCAGAAGAATTTCCTCCGGCCTACAGTTAGGACGAACTCTGATTTCCTCTGATTGTTCACTGCATTATTCTCCGACTTGATTGTAACTACTTATACAATTATATTTTATACAATATACGTAGAGTTAATTGGAAAGTTCTACGAGATTTTATTGGGAACCACTTTCTACCGCCGAATTTAAAATCTGTCATCCCTCGGAAAATTCACACTACTGAATTTTTGAATTTCGAGTGCTATTTTCGACAGATTTAGAAGGAAAGAAGAATCTCAATTTTTCTCAGTAAGAAAGGAGTAGTTAAAAATTTGGTGAGTTAAAATTTATTTTTAATCCTTTTCTTTAATTATATTATAATGTTATCAATTTAATTTCTACTGAATTATTAACATGGTTTTGTCATTATCATTTTACTTGGTATAATTATTCTGTACAGTTCATTATTACTATAGTTATAATTATTATTTTGATTTATAGTTATTACGTCGATTTATAATCGTTAATTATCCAATTATTTGAGATCAATTATTATTGCTTAATTATTATCAATTATTAATATCAATTATTAGTGTAATGAAAGAATTAATAATCTCTGTATTGATCGGGTTTTTATACATAATTTGTCATTTTTAAAACAGATGTGTAAAAGATTTTCGATAATAAAACAATAGCAGAATGACCTAAAATACTCGTATGAAATAAATAATTCTTGTAATTGTCTTCAATATAAATCAAAAATATCATCAAGCTTCTATCTCCGAGCCCACCGGGCCCACTTGGTGGTTACGACGATTTACCCAGGGCTGTCGATCTTTAACAGTATCTCGTCAGTGGTACAAATAACATCTCGAAATCAATTTTTTTTTTAACCCAACCTCTTCGAGATATTTAGAAACTTTGTACTTTCTCTACATGTATTAGATATATCCTGTCACATTGAAAAACTAAAAAATTCACTTTTCTCAGCTATCTCAGCAAAAAGACGAATTATAGCAATCGAATATGCTTTAGGAAGGGTAATAATAATACTTCAATGACGAAAAACTATGATTGTATAAAGATTTAACGAACTAAATGTTTTAACATGATCCTAAAAAAATTACTTTTTTAAAAAAAGGTAAAAAAAAGAAATCGAGTCATCTCAGTAGTAAAACATTATTGTATAAAACTATTTTACAAAAAATTATTTTAATAAAAAATTGCTGTATTAAAAAAAATTGTGTAAAATACGAGGGTCGTTTGATAAATTTAGTAAAAAAGCAAGTAAAACACATTGTTTTGGAAAAAAATCTACGTTATTTCTCAACATAGTCTCCATTGAGGTCTATACACTTGGTCGAACGAGATTCCAATTTTTTAACCGTCGGAAAAATAGACTGTCTCAAAACTTGCAAAATACTCATTGAATTTCACGGAAATTTTCCAAATTTATCAAACGACCCACGTAGTTGTCATAATTATCTACAAAAATTAATGATATATGTAAATAGAAAATTACGTCGAGAAAAGAGTGCGATTTTATTTTATATTTATCAACTGTGTGTGTGTGTGTGTGTGTGTGTGTGTGTGTCTGCCTCTGTATGTGTGTGTGTGTGTGTGTTACATGTGATTGACTGCTGATAAATTTTAAAAAAAGAGAAAAATTTTCAAAAATAAGAATCTATATCTTGGTAAATGCACCAAGTAAAATATATGCATATGCCTTGTACACGTTCTAATTTTCGCGAATAATTAATCTCTAATGAAATTTTACGCACTACCATCCGCGGTGGCTCTTAGTCGCTCTTTTCTCGTGTATCGTGTTGTTTAATACATAACAGAGCCTAATTCTTTATCAATTTATTAATTTGTTGAATTTTAATATTTTGATGTGTAAATTAGTGGATAGATAGTATTAATATATTTAAAATCAACACTAACTGAGGATCAGGATTCTTTTAATTTCTAAAACATCTTTTATATAATATATATAATTAAAAAAACGTTTTACGCAAGTTTTAAATCGCACAATCTTTAAATTAAAATAAGTTATGAAAACTTGGCGTGCCCGGATCGTAATTAAATACAGATTTAATATTTAATTGTATAATATTTATGATTTTACATTTTATTGGGAATATATTTGTTTATAATGTAAACGCTACACAACAACGATGACTCGGACGTAAAAATGAAAGACACTTTCATAATATAAATCGTGTCGTAGCTTTCCATTAAGAAAAAATTATCATGTAATTGTAAATTATCATGTAATTGTTTTTTATATTCTCATTGAATAATTAACTAACATGCTTGAATAAATAAATTTGATAAATAAATTAATGAAATATTAATTTATTAATAAATAAGTAAATATAGATTACTTAGATAACTGAATCAACAACCAATCTTGCCTTAAATTTCTACAAAGTGTCCCATTCAATTTTTGCCCGGAGGCCCCCAATATTATAGCTACGCCACTGAATAGAGATACTATGCAACATGTTTCAAGTTTCTTTATAATATTTCACGACTCCTACGCAAACAAGCTACTTCTTTTTAAGTTTAGATTTTATCAACGTATTCTTTTTACTTCCCCAGTCAAAAATTCTTCTACAAACCATATGAAAAAGTGGTAAAAGGTGTGTGTGATAAAACTCTATAAACAAATTCAACAATATATAATTTTGAAAAAAGGTATTTTTCGTAAAACATAAAAATTATCCCGGTTTAAAAGTACGCATAAATTTCCAAATAATATTCGCTAATTCGAGAATTCGAATTTAACACGCATCGAGAATTTTCTTGAGTTTTCGATCGGTCAGAAAAACTCAACCGTTTCCGTTATTTCTTCCATTTTTTCATCCCTTAAGAAACGCTTGTCACGCTTTATAATAACATCAACCGTTATTCGAATAGCTGATTGCCAATCAGCTAATTGAAAAATACTACGCACATGAACTAAAAAATTTTCTACGTCAAACCTCACGGTGGCTAATTATATGCGGCGTCTTGAGGTCACCGCTAAACGATCAAATTTAGCCTACGTCGCCAATGGCCCCAGAATCTGCTCGCTATAAAACAGGCACCGCACGTGAGCACTTCGTAGTTCGCACTTAGCAATTCACAGAATTTTCCGCAAGTAAAACCGTTTTTAGTAAAACTGCTTTTAGTAAAACCGCTCTTAAAACTGCTCGTTCTTATTAGTAAAGATATATGTCGCAAAGTTACGCCGCTATATTCGTCTTCGGACTTACCTCGACGTCTTCGCCATTTCAGTTCCTGAAACTTTGTACATTTTTTGTAAATATAATTTTATTTAATTGTGTGGTGTAAAATAAAAAAATCAGAAAAATACAAAAAAATACGTGTCGTATAGAGTCTCTGTAGTTATAACAAAATTGTCGTGTCCTATTCTATAACGTTCTCTCAAATTCTCCGCTGTCGCGGTAATCCGCAGTTGCTCCGCGAACATATATATTTATTTTTTTTATATTTTGATGAAAATGATAAGATAGCAGAAAAATTATGTAAAAGAATATATATGTTCAACTAGAAGAAATTAATAAAAAGACAGATACAATCATTATGAAATTTGATAAAAGAGAAAAGCTAAGGACCGTGGCATAGGTTGTTATTACGTAATTAAAATTAGAACATAAATTTAGGACGGAAAATTTATATATTCTTTAATAATTGTTAGCAAAAAAAAATAATATTTTCCGTCGAAAAAATAATATAAATATCGACATACGTATGTTTCGATCTAATGCGAATCTTTTTCAATGTCTTGAAACGGATCGCATAACGTGAACGTTGCAAAGGCGCGTTAAAAAAAGTATGATCACAACGAAGACCGAGACATTACATTATTGGTCAAGATCATACTACTTTCTTTTTATGGCTTTTTCTCTTGTCTTTGCACTCTTCTACGCTTCCACCTCGTTATCAATCAAACCAATTTTTTCGGCATCTTGAAGGTTTGAATGTTTGAGTGGTTTTCATGTCTTTATCGCATTAGGACTATCATATTCTTATTACAACGACTCTCAACAATATGGACCAATATGAACTTTTTATAATTTGGATTTGTTTTAATAAGGTAAAGTATATCTTTCTTTGATTCCTCGTGTTACTTGGATGATTTTGATATCGAGGTGAGCGTTGCGCTTTTTGCTTGAATATGTCATCGCCATGCGCATATACATATTTTTTATTTATTTTTATTTTATCATATTTTGTACAAAAGCTTTTTATTTTTTAATCCTCATTATTTTTTGTTGTCTTTGCATTTTATTAGATAGTCGATCGTTTTAATATGTTTGTTTGACATATTGATTATTTTTTACTGCGCGCATCTTCGCAATGTTCACGTTCTAATCACGTTCACTTATGCGATCCGTTTTAAGACATTGAGAAAGATCCGCATTGGATCGAAACATACGTTTGTCGATATTTTTGTATTTGTATTATTTTTTCGATAAATAATGTTCTTTTTTTTACTATCAATTATTAAAGAATATATAAATTTTTTGTCCTAAATTTATGTTTTAATTTTAATTACATAATAACAACGTATGCCACAATCTTTAGCCTTTCTCTTTTATCAAATTTGATTGTTATCTTACGGACCATTATTCTCTTTTGTTTTTACAATCATTATGAATCAAGGGAGATTCAACAGGTCCCTTCTTCCAAATGAAGAGACCTCAAAAACACAAATACAAATCTCCCATTTCTACCTATTAAGAGAGAAGAGCAATTGAATTTATGGAAGCATTTTTAGAACAAAAGAACAATTTTGCAGCTGTAGTGAATAAACATCTATTTTTATATTGATATATGTATGTATGTGTGTATAGGGTGTCCATTTTAAAACCTAGCACCCATTTATTTCATGATTGACTATTTTTTGCGAAAAATGCCAAATACAAATGTCAATTTTGTTTTTGAAGGGGACATTTAAATACATTGAATATAATGAAATTTTTTCATCCCCTTCGTCAAAGTAGCTACCCCTTCAAAAATCTTAAATGGCAATAGGAGTCAAGTATAAAGATCATTTTAAAGATCTCTTTTGATTTTTTATACAATTCTTTCTTTTTTTTTTTAAGTGAATATTTTTCGAGAAATCGCATTTCGAAGCTTTAGATGCCAAAAATGTTTTACATATAAAGATAAATTTTGGAGAATTTATTTATTAGAATTTATTTATTAGAATTTATTTATTAGTTATTTATTATAATAAATGTTCAAAATGTCTTCTATTGTTTTATAAGCAATAATATAAATGATTTTCAAATTCTGAATGAATATTTTCAAAAGGAATATCTCTGCATTCTTGTAGAATTCTTCGACGCAAATCATTTATATTACTGCATTCTTGTACAATTCTTCAACGCAAATTATTTACATTACAGCATTCTTGTACAATTCTTCGACGCAAATCATTTATATTACTGGTGTTTTATAAATAACGGAGTTTAGTGCTCCCACAAAAAATCTTTTACAAAATGTTAAAAAATTTATATTTTGCGCTAATTTTATTTGTTTATAATTGAAATATGATTGAATTAAAACAAATGTCGTACAAGATTAAGTTGACTGATTAAGATTAACTGTGATTTTCAAAAATTGCGTCTGTGTCTAGTCTTAAGTTAATTAAAACAATTTTTATTTATAATATAAATGTCAAAGAAAAATAAATAGTTATATCTTTCAACATTTAATTGAATTTTTACTTTTATTTTAATAAAAATGAGAAGTATAAACTTTTTTTTTGCATTATATGTCGAAATAAATTAATATTTCTAAATTTCATTATTCATGTTCCATAATATTTGGTAAGACTAGATTTATAAAAAATTTAATAGTTGTAAAATTTTAATTTTAATTTTTTTACCGTATAAGTTAACTCTTGATTATATCTATTTCAATTAAATATTTACAAATATTTTTTCAGTCCTTTTCAGTTACATTTACTAATAAAAGATTACAAGACCGACAATTTTTATGAATATTTTACGAATATTAAATATTGAACACATAAGTAGTGAAATGTAGATAAATTAACTTATTTTAATGTGTATATTACAAGAAAAAAATTTATATTTTCTCGCCTCTAATATTACAGCTGCATTGAGAAAGAAGTATTCAATATTGAATCGAATTCGAATCATTCTATATCGATAACTGATCGAAAAATGAATCAATTAAAAATCAACTAAAATCGATGAATATAAAATTAATTATGAATTAATTTTCTTTTTATATTTTCGACGTATCGACTTTACATCAATCTGTCGAGTCATTTCTCGCTGGATCATATATAAAAATATTTTTCTCCTTAAATTCTTACAGTTTTGGGAGAGAAAGATATCGCTGAGAATTGGAAAACATGACGAATACAAATAACAACTCGTTTTATTATTCTCTGAGTGGCAACAAACAAGAAGATGAGGTAAGAATTTATCTTTCATTCTAATTTTTCTCTTTTTCTTAGATATTTCATTTATCTATAATGACTACAGAGATTTCGGTGACATAAAAGATTAAGAAAATTATGATTTATTGTAGAAACTGTTAGAACCGATCAGATACAATCTTCAAGTTCCTGGAATGCAGATAATGACGGCAAAATTAATGCAGACTTTTAATTACTGGCTAAAAATATCGCCTGACAGAATAAAAGCAATCGAAGAAATAGTAATCATGCTTCACAGCTCGGGCAATATGTAAGTTTGCATTTTGTTATATCATAATTTTTTATGTTTTTTTTATTCCAATTGCACACATTTTTATTTCTTTATAATATATATTGGATGATTGCATAAGTTCGTGCCCGATTTAAAGATAAACTTCAATAGGTTATATTTTAAAGAATACACTTTTATTAATCAATTATATAGTCTCCATTCTCCTCTACAATGGTTTTCCAACGATCTACAAGCTTGTCGATTCCATTTTTGAAGAAAAAACTTGGTTTTTTTTGAAAAAAGTTTGTAAGGTGCTTTTCGACAGCTTCCTCGGAATTGAGATTCTTGCCATTCAAACTATTCTGCAAAGACCGGAACAGATGAAAATCTGAAGGCGCAATGTCTGGAGAGTATGGCGGGTGCTGCAGAATTTCCCATTGCAACTCCTGCAGTTTTCGCAGCGTCTGTTGGGCGACGTGTGGCCTAGCATTGTCGTGATGGAAGATGATGCCTTTTCGATTGGCTAAAACCGGACGTTTTTCTCGAATAGCTGCATCGAGTCTAGTGAGTTGCTCACAGTATTTGTCCGCCGTGATTGTTTCGCCGCGTCGGAGCAGCTCGAAGTGAATAATTCCCCTGCAATCCCACCAAACACACAGCAACACCTTCATCGGATGCAGGCCAGCTTTTGCGACGGGTTCTGCTCCTTCAGCTGCTTTTTTCCATGTCCTCTTCCGCTGTACGTTGTTGTAGAGAATCCACTTCTCATCGCCTGTTACCATTCGATCCAAAAAAGGCTCTTTTTTGTTACGCTCGAGAAGGGAAAGGGCTACAGTCATGCGGTTCAGCTTATTCCTTTCAGTCAGGAGATGCGGCACCCACGTATCGAGCTTGGAAACGTATCCAAGCTTTTTTAAATGGCGAAAAGCGGTTGAATTATCAATGTTCAGCCTCTCAGCAATATCCTCAGTTGTAATCCTTGGGTTTTTTTCCACTAAGGCACACACAATGTCGTCATCAATGCCAGAAGGCCGTCCAGAGCGGGGTTGATCTTCCATGTTAAAATCACCATTTCGAAATCTGCCAAACCACTTTTTGACTGTCCGGAGAGCAGGAGCACGGTCCAAATAAACGCTCTGAATGTTTTTTTGTGCAGTCCCAACACTCACGCCTTTTCGAAATTCATATAGCATTACATGTCGCAAATGCACCTTTTCGTTCTCCATTTTTAATAATTTCTCTTATGCACAAATGGACTTATCTGAACAATGCCTGATGCTAAAGTGACATAAGACACTGTCACCTATCCGGTGCAAGCAATATTACCAAACGAAAACAATAGAACTCCGTCATGCAATAACTTAATGCCATCTATGAAAATCGGGCACGAACTTATGCAATTATCCAATATATTTAGATTGTTATGATTATTTCACATAATTTTCATTAAGAAATATTATTTTGTAATATTTCACACAGCACCAAGAAATATTATTTTGTAATATTTCACACAGCACCAAGTTGTCTAAAAGTACTCCTAAAACTCAATATATTTTTGTCATAAACATCTGTATCAACATCGTTATCAATTGTCATAAACATCTGTATCAACATCGTTATCTTATTCAACATCGTTAAATCGATGGAAAGATTGTTAGAACCGAGAATTCCTTGAACTGAGTGACATTTTAGTCTTATCCATATGATGACTAAAAATGACTTTATTCAAGAACATTAAGAGGGACCCGTTTGCCTATATTCCCGATTGCCAACATTTCTGATTGCCTATATGTATTATTGCACACATGAAAAAAATAAAGAAACGAAAGTACGATTGCACATATGACATTATTGCACACATACACATTGCACACATGACATTATTGTTCACATGCACATTGCATACATGACATTATTGCACACACAAAATAAGAAAATCATATTGACACTTTCCACACACGACTTTATTGTACACATACAGATTGCCCACATGACATTATTGCGCACATACATCCCACACAGCCATCAAGTCGTCTAAGAGTACTACTAAAACTGAACATCTTTTTCTCACAGATATCTTTTACTGACATCGTTAAAGAGTTATATCTAATCAGCAAGTTGAAAAAAACGTATTTTTGGGAAATTAAAAGAAAACTGTTAGGTATTTTTATTTCATCGATTCTTTATCGTAATATATGTATATTTATCAAAGAAGTTTTCATAATTTTTTCAATTAAAAATATCGAGAAATGTAGACACAGTAGCTATTTTCCAGAGACATCTTTTTTCGGAGGCGCTTGGCGGTGAGCAAGATTACTCGGAGCTGGATCATCTGAAATAAAAAATGCAAAAGAATTTAACTTTCGTATGAATTGATCTAGTTCGAGATTTTTTATAGACTTTTTATAGACTTGATTTCTATATAGACATTCGGTAGCAGGAATATTTCAATACACACAATAAATGGACTATTTCTCCAATTTATTCGCCTAATTTCTAATAATCCGTTTAATATTCTGAATCCCTACAAGGAATCCAGATTATTAAATAAATTATTTGTTTAATAATCTAGATCCTTTATCAGAATTCAGAATATTAAATAAATCAAGTCAATTTATTAGAAATTAAACTGATTCAAGACAAGAAATATAATTACTGCATTAGTCCTTATATCCACTTTAGACGAAAATTCGAATACGAATTAGTTAAGTTTAGTGACGCCACGTAGCGGCAAGTAAAGAAACACATGTTATACAAGTTCATTATGTTAAAATGATGCTGCAATATTGCCAAAGTAATATTACAAAATAATATCTCTGCAATATTTCTGCAGCATTACACTGCAATGTGCAATGTTGTAACATTGCAGCAATGTTGATGCTTCTGTGCTATATGAGTTACAGTCACAATTTAAGTCACAAATTAAGTCAAAATCAAGTGGAGGAAGCATTAGAGTATGCAGCTGCATATCCTAAAGCAATGCCGTTTATAATCTTATATCAAGCACAAAGTTTACCATTTAAAAACTATTTATTTTTAATTCAAAATATGAACAATCCAGTGTTATGGTGGTATGCTCTTCGAAGCAGCATAAATAATGCTATTGATTTATCTATGCAACTGCATATATATATATATATATATATATATATATATATATATATATATATATAACTGTTGCATCCTGTGTAGGTATTGAAAGATTATTTTCTACTTTCGGCTTAGTACACAATAAAATACACAATAGGATAGGAACAGAAAAAGCGTCCAAATTGATATCCATTATGAGAACTTTAAATTCAAACAGTATAATTCTAAATGATGATTAGAAACAATATTTATTTTAATGTAAATGTTATTTTAATTTTATCAATATATGATAGTTTATGTAATATATATATATATCAATGTTTTTAACATACATAAGTGAAATTTTTATTACAATATACATGTATATTAAAATTATTTAATAACTTAATTACATGCTTTAAAAATATATTTAAATAAAACACATTTTTAAACAATCATGTTTAAAACACTTGTTTTAAATATGTTTAAAATAAAATTGTATTTAATTAGATGTAATGTTTAAAACATGTTTCGAACATTTGTTTTAAATATAAATGTTTAAAACATAACAACCCTGGATACAATTAAATTTATATATTAAAAGTGCAATTTTCTATATATTCTTAATATTATAATTTGTTTTATTTTTTTATAGACTTGATGACATTCAAGATAATTCCATTTTGCGGAAAGGTATTCCTGTCGCTCATTCTGTTTTTGGGATTCCTAGCTCACTAAGTGCTGCCGCTTATATATTATTCATTGCTTTGGAACGAGTTATTAATTTACGACATCCTGCAGTAAGTAGCCACATTATACTTACAAAAGAAAGATAACGTATACAGTATTTTAGTCGCATTATCTTTAGAAAGTAAGATTGAAAATAACAGATCTTATTCTCTCTTAGAGTTTAAATATTGTCAAAATATGCAAAATTTAAATACTATCCTTGGATTATATGAAATTTATATATTTAAATAAATCGAAAAAATTGAACATTATTTTTTTATACAAAAAATAAAAATTATTGCGAGGACTTGACTGAAAAGAAAAACATACATAAAATGTTTTATCATTAAATAAAATTAAATATTTTATGATATTTTAACATAAACTAATTTCATATAAAGCACATTAAATGTGTTGTGTGTGTGTCGTTAAAATTGTAAAAGATAAGCTCCATAATGCATGTTAGATAAAATTGTGTGTTGTATTATTGTATTAACTACGTTTTCCTTTCAGGCATCAAAAGTATGTATAGAACAATTGTTGGAACTTCAAAGAGGTCAAGGAATAGATATTTTTTGGCGGGATAATTTCATTTGTCCAAGTGAGGAAGATTACAAGGCTATGGCAATAAAAAGTAAATGTTAATATTTGTGTGCATATATATATTTCTCTTCTTAATATTTGTATGCATATATATATTTCTTCGAATTAAAAAAATTACATATAAAAAATTATATATATAAATATATATATATATATATATATATATAATATAAAAAAAGTAAATGTTAATATTTGTGTGTGCATATATATATTTCTTTGAAATAAAAAAAATTACATATAAAAATTATATACATATATATATATATATATATATATATATATATATATATACACGTACTCAGCAAACTTCAAGTTATACATGTTATATAACTGTAAGAATTATATTATTAAGTGGGAAATTATAACTGAGTGTATATATATACACATAATTGAAATATCTATTAATTTTACAGAGATTGGTTGTTTCTTTAACTTGCCAATAAGATTAATGAATTTGTTCTCAACTTACGAAGAAGATTTATCGCCGCTATTAACTCTTTTGAGTTTATACTATCAAATACGTGACGATTATTGTAATTTATGCCTCAGTGATGTGAGTAATAATATATATATTTGCAACATTATACGTACTTAAATAAATTGAAAAAATTGAATTATCAATATATTTTTTGTTATAGTATACCGAAAATATTTATTGTGATGATTTGACTGAAGGAAAATTCAGCTTACCAATTATTCATGCGCTTAAAACCAATCCTGATGATAAGCAAATAATGAGTATCCTTCATTATATATTATTTGTTTATATTTTTTTAAATTAACACACTAGTAACACATTTACTAAAGAAATGTAAGCAGCCCTACATTTCTCATCATATACATACACATATACAATTTTTAGATACTTCATAATTTTATTTATAATTTTATTATATATATGTTTCCTTAATAATGCTTGATAAAGATATTCTGAAACAACGAACGAAAAATATCGAAGTGAAACGTTATTGCGTTAAATTATTAGAGAAATTTGGCTCTCTCAAGTATACAAGAAGCGTACTCGAAGAATTGGATATGAAAGCAAGAGCTGAGATTGATCGCTTAGGAGGCAATCCGTTCCTAATAAAAATTCTAGATGAGTTGAAGAATTGGGATAGCAACGAAGCGTCCCAAGATCCCTTAACACGGACATTTTTATAAGAAAGAAAGTATACTCATATAGAGAATAATTGATATTAGATCCATTGAATATTTTTTATAGGCATTAAGGATATCCACGAGTATATGAAAATCAGTTATTAGAAATAGCTAATAGATAACTAGTAGATCTATATATATATATATATATATATATATATATATATATATATACATGTATGTATGTATCATCCACATATCCATATCCATTAAATAACTACCAAAGATATCCACTAGATACACACGATATTATTCTCATATCTATATTCGCACGCAAGAAAAACGGCCCACTAAATTTTAGCATAATTTTTTAACATCTTTCAATAGCAATAAATCAGTGAAAAATTATCACACTGAGATGAAACAATTCAAATGATATAATAGCTCGAATTAAAGCTTGAACATTTCTCCTAAAAACAAAAAATAAATAAATAAAGGAAAATTAATCGATTGATATAATGGTTTTAAAGATAAAATCTAAATGAAATATAATTGATATGATTTAGGCAAAAAGTAAACCACAAATTATGGATGTAATATGCAAAAAAGGAACAAATTGTTAGAATTATTAAAATAAATTATCAGTTATAAATGTACGCGCAAACGTTTCGATCTATTCCAGATCCTTCTCAATTCTGACATAATAGAAATTACAAAGGATATAAATACAAGTGTAAAAGGTCGCTCGCAAATAATAACGTTCGCAGAATTTGAATACAATAACAAAATTCGAATTAATGAAAAAAGGCGCAAATAAAATATTCGTCAGTGTAGTGGAAATTACAATAATAAAATCGGAATACGAGTACATGGTAGAGAAAATTAAATTTGTAACGTTCGGATGGAAAGATATAGATGTAGATATGCCCACATGTCGGCATGTTACTCACCAGGTATATACACAGAGATCGCAACTGTGTAGGAAAGAAAGCGTTAAAAAACGATGGCATGCGAGTAAAGGACAGAGATACCGCACGCTATCCACACTTTGTATAAAGCCAAAAAGATTCTTAATTTTGCAAATTAATAAATCCCAAGCAAAGTAAACCTGAATCTGAAAAATAAAATTGAGCAGAGCAACACGCGTTCATGCAATACATATCACATTAGAAAGAAAAAATGAAAAATAAAAGAGAAGAGAAAAATTAATTTGAGAAAGCGATAATTGAGGCAAATCAATAAATGCAGCTTATTAAGAAAAATTACATACAAGCAGTAGAGAAGCCCATTAAATAACTGACAGAAAAAATGAAGGAAAGAGAGCAATTACACTGATCAATTATAAGAAACATGTAACTCATCCAAGACAACGAGACGTATTGTAACGCCTCGGCTCACGATGACGGTGGGAGGGGAAGGGAAGGGGGAAGGAAATTCAGGAACGGATAATGTATGAGAATAGTAATTTGAAATCGTAGGAAATAAAAGATGATTTATGATCGAAAAGATTTAATAATTGGAAGATAACTTTTGTCGAATTTTTCTGTGTCATTTTGAACATTCAAGCCATTGTCTTGTCGTGTAATGTGAATCATTTCTGAAATAATTCTCCTAAGAAACGAAGGATCTTGATCCAGAATTTTGACGTTGTTCCATGAAAATTCGTGTCCCTCCAGTCTATGATGGGACAAGACTGATAGATATTTCATAGGTCGATCAATATTCGATCGATGCTCGCGGACGCGAGTCGAAAGTTGCCTGCTAGTCTGCCCCACGTAAGAAGCGGAGCAATTATTGCAACAAATTTTGTATATAACATTAGAATGTTTATCTATCAGTAATAGATCCTTATGCGTTTTTATCAAACGATTCAATTTGTTTAACACGACGTAAGCAAGAGATTTATCTAGTTTTGCAGCAATTTCTTTAAAATGCTCGGAAACATCTTTTATGTATGGAATCACAAAGAACGAATGAGAAGGAGAAGAGGAAGGATGGGAAGTGTGAGAGGAAGCGAGCGTCATACTGCTATGAATAAGTGACTTAATTCTGTTCGTGATTATGGAAAAAATGAAATTTGTAGGATAACCATTGTCGGAAAGTATCTCAAAAATGAGTTTGAAATTCTTCTCATGATATCGGGGATGCGACAATTTAAAAATTTTGTCAGTGAGCCCAATAATTACGCCCTTTTTGTATGCAATAGGATGTTGCGAAAAGAAAATTAAAAATCTTCCAGAAAAAGTGGGTTTTATATACCAATCAAATTCAATGTAATTGTTGTTAATAATAATTGTTACATCTAAAAAATTAAGTTGATTATGATTGGCGATTTTCATAGTGAATTTGAGTCTTTCATGAAAAGAATTGAAAACTGTCATAACGAGATCAAAAGAGGAGGAAGGCGCGATCAAAGCAATGTCATCCACATATCTAAAATAGAACGGAAGATGAAAGGGAAGCTGTGAAATAGCTCTATCCTTCAAATCCTGCAGGACTAAGTCAGCATAGATAGGGGAAAAAAGGGAGCCCATGGGCGTTCCGAATATCTGTCTGTAAATAATCCCATTAAATCTGAAAAAAGTGGAATTTAAAACGAGCTTGAGTCTGATGGCAAATTCAAAAAATGGAATCTTAATTTTGTTCTTGATCAAATGCCAACGTTTGGCAATACTGCCAACAATCAAGTCCGTAGGAACGTTAGTAAATAAAGATACAACATCAAGAGAAATGAGACTAAAATGGTCTTCTACATAAAGATTATTAATTCTGTCTACTAACTCATAGCTATTAGCAATATGACTGTTGGAAGATTCTCGTGAAGGCAGTTGTGGAGGAAAGCCGCGAACTTGTGGAGAGGACTGTTAATAGATGAAACAATAATTCTCAAAGGGCAGTTGGGCTTGTGGATCTTCGGTAAGTCGTATGCTCGTGGTAACGTGCTGTCGCTAATATAGAGAGATCGTTTAGTAAAAGCTGAAATGTAATTTCTCTGATTCCATCTCTTCAAAATCTCGTTCAGTACAAATTTTTTTAGTAAGGTCCTTATTCACAATCACATAAGTATCAGAATCACTCAATAATTTGTTCATCTTTGATATATAAACACTTCTGTCGAGTGCAATGGTGGCATTGCCTTTATCAGCTTTAGTAACAATCAATTCAGGATAATCCGCCAAAAAAGTTTTACTATTTTATTTAGTTTTAAAATCTTTCTATCAAAATCGGAGCACAATCTCGAATTATCAGTACGGTAATTTTCCAAGCATTGTATCGTATAGTTTCTGACATACTGTGTACAAAAAATGAAACAAATTTGACTTACAAAAAATGTTTTACAAAATGGCGGACGTTGAAGATAGACTTTGAGAAATGGAAAACAAATTTTTTTAAAACAGTTGCACTGCTCAGTTGTATCAGTTTTCTGATACAAAAATGTATGAGTTTTTAAGCTCATTTATTTCCTAACAAATTCATATTTTAATCACTTTTCTTCTTTGATAAAAAAAATGCTAAAATTTAATGGCCCAGTTATTTTGCGTGTAAATATATTCACCAACTACTAAAGATATACCGGATATTTATATACATCGCGATATTAAATTTATGTATTTGTTTATTATATAAAGTGTCTTCCTAAGAATCAATAGCTTTAATTTGAGCTATTATATCATTTGAATTGTTTCATCTTGTCAGTATGATGATGTTTCACTGATTTATTGCTAATGAAAGATGTTAAAAAATTGTGCTAAAATTTAGTGGGCCGTTTTTTTTGCATGTGAATATACAGGGTGGGCCATTTTAAGTAATTCACTCAAATATTTCGGAAAATAATGAAAAATCAAAAAAATGTTTCAGATAAAAGTTGTATGGCTTGAAGGGGGCCATCAGATAGTGGCAATGATTTGACCTTGGAGAGTCATTTGAAGATGACGTAAAGGTAACCTTCAATTTCTTAAATGGAACTCCCTACTTTTTATTACATATTCGTGTAGCTTATCTCGAGAGCTTTCCAAAACACTATAATAAAGTATTTCTTCATTGAGTACTTTTCGAGTTATGAGGCTTGAAATCATTTCTTAATTTTGTATAAACCGTAAAATATCTAGTAAAATATTCATTTTTCGATTATCTTGCTTTAATACTTTTATGTACAAAATAATGAGAGAAATCAATTGGTGTAAAAAAAACACATAGTTGTTTCAAAGAAAAAATATGTAATTGTTAATTGCAAATTACATATTTTTTCTTAAAAATAACTATGTGTTTTTTTTACACCAATTGATTTCTCTCATTATTTTGTACATAAAAGTATTAAAGCAAGATAATCGAAAAATGAATATTTTACTAGATATTTTACGGTTTATACAAAATTAAGAAATGATTTCAAGCCTCATAACTCGAAAAGTACTCAATGAAGAAATACTTTATTATAGTGTTTTGGAAAGCTCTCGAGATAAGCTACACGAATATGTAATAAAAATAGGGAGTTCCATTTAAGAAATTGAAGGTTACCTTTACGTCATCTTCAAATGACTCTCCAAGGTCAAATCATTGCCACTATCTGATGGCCCCCTTCAAGCCATACAACTTTTATTGATGTCATTTTTTGATTGCAGGCTTTCCCTAAGAGATATTTGAGTGGATCACTTAAAATGGCCCACCTTGTATATATACATACGTACATACATACATACATACATATGTATATATATATATATATATATATATATATATATATTTATATGTATGTATGTGTATGTATATGTATGTATATATGTATATACAATTTGAAATTAATAAAAATTAGTTTTTATTATGTTTATATTAGAAACGTGATAAATATGTATGTTTCCTTAATTACACTGAAAAAATTGTATTCTCAACTTAAGAATATGCCACTCTTATCTTCAGAATATATACTAAAATAAGATCTCCTCTTGGCGCCTCTTTTAGTATATATTCTAAAGATAAGTGGCATATTCTTAAGTTGAAAATACAATTTTTTCAGTGTATGATTTTAAAAACGTTTTTATGGAAACGTTCCTTATTAATGTTTTACGATTAAAAAATATTGGATACATTTAAGAAACGTATATAAAACGAATGTGTGCTACTTGGGGCATCATAGCATATCTTAAAGTTATTTATTGACGACAGCCATGTGTTATAAAACGTTTTCATCATCTATTGATAATGCGTAACTAAAGGTTAACTATCCATTTGATATTAATGCAGCGGGAATGAAGTCAAACTGCAAATGTTGTCTTGGAAATATTATAGTTTTAAGAAGTGACATAGAAGAGATATATTGAATCCAATAAATATTATTATTATATGTATTATCTAACTGATATAAATAACTTAGTTAATGAAGAAAAAATTGTAGGTGGATATGCATGTATTAATATTGGAATGTTTATTTTTTACAATATTTATTAAACACTTACTATTTTGTAAATTCAAAATAATAACACGCAATTGTAATTTTCTTTTCAAGCTTTTTTTATATTATGTTTTAAAGCTTTTTCCTATTTCAAATTATACATATAATTTTTTGTACGTACATATATCATTGCTGTGGAGGGAATAAATTTTTATAAATTTATAAAATATTTGAAAACACGTCTATTATTATGCATGAATTTAAAAAGAGATCATTATATAAATACTTGTTTAAATCATTCTATGCAGAAAGTTTCTTTCATAAAATGAAGATATTTTTGAAAATAAAAATGTTGTATATTATTTAATATATGAATGGACTGAATATATGTCACAAAAGGGGACCAGAGCATCACAGAATTATTTTCAGTTATATTTTGCGTAATTAAGTGTTTATAACACTTTTTTGGAAATAAAATAATTGATGATTTATAACTGGAGAAAGAGAGAATTTGATTGAATTGGATGGATTAATGCACACTGATGTATAAAGATTGCTGTATATAAAATTACAATAGTATAATTAAAATAATAAAGTAATTAATATTACAAGTTTTTATATTATATTATATTATATTAAGTACATTATGTTAAATTAATATTAATATTAAAATTAATATTAAAATTAATATTAAGTAAAATTATATTATATACGTTATTATATTATAAAGTTATTTAATCCAAAGAACGATAATAATACTTCGTACAATTATTTTATTTATTTTAGTTATTTATATGATATTGCAAATTTGTATTTGTTGATACTAGTGTAAAATCACTACCGCGTTAGGTATTCAAACTACATTACATAAATGTCGCAGAAAACGTATAAATCACTTTTTCTAAATCCATTATTACTTTCATTATAATCATAATATCTTTCATATAATAAACGCCTCTCTTCTATGGCAAAGAGAAGATATTCAGAAATAAATATTCAGAAATAAATACTCAGATATAAATTAATATAAAAAGTTTAATCAAATTCATTAAACAGTTATGTATACATATAATTATTTTTATTTATGTATATAACTATTTTTGTTTTATACATATATAACTTTTTAGTCAAATAATTTTTAAAGATTTTAATTCTTTTTGAAATAACGCCGAGTATCGCATCGTAGAGAAAAATAAATTACAAACGGAATGCAGTTAATAAGACGTCATGGCAACACATGATCAGATTGATCATTCGAAGTCAGTTATCATTGTGCTCGCTACTAGGCAAAAACCGCTAGCGCGTTACTTGTCGCTTGATTCAAACTGCATCATATGAATATCACAGAAAACGTGTAATTGTGTACAAATAATAGGATTTTAAAAAGCATACGTAGTAACACAACGAATAATGTGTATATATATATGAATTAATATTAATTCGATTAACACATTAGAATTAGTAGCGTGAGAAAAACAACTAATTAAAAATTCGACGGAAACTGATTGAGTGCAAACATTTACAAAAAATGCAAATTATATTTGGAACAATTTTATGTATTTTATGGAAAAGTTTAGTACTGACAAGAGCAACTATCACGTTTATGCCGAAAAATACCACTTCAAACAGTCTTCAGAAAGAAAATGTTTCCATGTATCCAGATTTAAACTTCACGCAGGTGAGAGATATTTTTCGTTTCATTCAAGAAATAATTGAATATTATTGCAGCTAGTAATTCATAAATGAATGATAATAAATTATATATACTTTCTCTATCTATATAATAAGATAAAATAAAATAATTATCCAACATAAAAAAGGGTCTTGTAAAAAAAAGATGTATAAAGTTTTGAAATTTTATTTATAAATGGATGTGTTATATATAGTATAATATATTAGTTTAATTAAAACAGTATATTAAAATGATTGTATTATTCTCTCTCTCTCTCTCGTCTCTCTCTCTCTCTCTCTCTCTGGCTCTTCCCCCCCTCTCTTTATATATATATATATATATATATATATATATATATATAATTATTATTTCTAAAAATAACAATTTTTAAAATTAATAAAGTTTGCTGCTTACTATATAGCGACATTAATATATACATATATACGATGACACATGAACAGTCTTTTATGTCATTTTTCTACAACTTCTAAAATTTTTTTATTTTTCTAGATATTTTAATAATATTTATCAATATATAGTGTAAGGTTTATATTAATATAGATTTCATTTTATAAATTTAATTTAGAAAGTCGCTAGATGCTAAAATTTATATTAATTTTCATTTTACATATACATATATCCAATAATATATAATTATATACACATATTCTTATCGAGGTATTATCGGTTTATACTATCATCTTTAGAATTTGTGTTAAAAATATAACAATAATCGAGAAAAAATTTAATAAAATTATAGATAAAAGAATTTATATAATTTCTACAACTAATACTTAATAAAGAAACAATATTTTTAACATTTTTGAAGTACAAACATTAATAAAACTTTAATAATATCGTTAAATTTTTGAAAAAAATATTAAGTAACTGTAAAATTGAGAAGAATTAACTAACCTATCATGAGAAAGAATCAAATAGTTAGACAAAATTGTTTTAATAATTGCAAAGAGCTACACTTTCGCATGTATTATTTGTAAAAGCTGTTATGAATCATCATTGACTCTTGTTAACCTAATGATTGATTTTCTTTTTGATATGAGTTATGTTTGATTACAAGATGTCTTAAAAAAAATAAATAAAAAATATTTTACGATATGAATAAAACTACATCACATTCAATATATATATATCATTTAGGAATGGTACACTAAAAAAAATTGTATTCTCAATTTAAGAATATGCCACTTATCTTTAGAATAACGCCAAGAGGATCTCCTCCTGGCGCCTATTTTAGTATATATTTTAAAGATAAGCATATTCTTAAGTTGAGAATACAATTCTCTCAATATATGTATGTATCAAATCGGTATTATTAAGCAAACATAAAATAAGCAATTTTTCGTATAATTTTATAATTTATATAATTTATCATAAAAAGCACGAGACATAACCTCTTCAACGATATTCACTTAATGCTTTTCGTATGTTATACTTTATGAAGGATATTTCACTGTACGAGAAAAGTGTTCAGCATATGCTAAATTTCAAATCTGACCGCAGTTACTCTGATAGTACTGTGAAAAATGAGCGAGAAGTCGATGAAGATACACTTGCAAATACTTCTATCATCCCAGAATCTATCGGTAAGTTGTAAAAAATGCATATAACATTAATAACAAAATCAATGACGAAAAAGTGTAAATATAATTTAAATTCAAGAGAGAATAGAAATCAAATCTAAAAATATCTTCCAGTAGTGAGAAGAATATAAATTCTATTATAATTCTGTCCAAAAAGAAATAGAAAAGCATAATATAAACATAACATTGTACATAAAAGTTGTCATGATTTAAGGTAAAGTCAATTTTATTAATTTGCTACTTCGTTTCAAAGCAATCTCAAATATTATACTTCTGATTTCTTAAGTTACAGGAATTTTTTGAAAAGTACTTCTCATTTTATTAAAAGTTATTTATTCGTTTTTACTATGAATTAACGATTACTTTTCTAAATCTTAAATGACGCAAAATATTCTTATATTATTTTTTTAAATGTCAATGCTGTGCTAATTTCCATATTCTGTAATTTACATTTTTTTTCTCTTTCGTTTACTCTGATAGAAATTTTAATCGACCGTTTGTATAGCTGACCAGCGTGTCACATTGCCACTTAAGAAGCTATTATAACGCTGATAAGCGCCATCCTCGAAATCATCATGTTTTGTCCGCTGGCACCACGTTGAAATGAATTTTGTGTGGTGTTAACATTGCATTAACGTGGTTCTAGTAAGATATTGTCATAGGGCAGATGCGGAATTACTGTAGTATAGCGTAATATTGCTTTACGAAAAAATACTATTGAACTATTTGACTATTGATAAAAAATCGTACTACACAACACCAAATCGCCTAAAAATATTATTAAAATTGGAAAAAAAATTCTGAAATCTAACAAGAAAAAAAGTTTTCAATCCCATAAGGAATCCACATTATTAAATAATTTTTAAAAATTTAGTTTGTCAAAAATTGAATTAATTTAATTGATAAAGTGACGTTAAGAAGAAAACGCGGTTCACTTGCACACAATCAGAGAGCCATGGCTCTGTAAGCCATGTAAGCCGTGTAAGCAGCCTCTTTTTGGCGATACTATCCACAAAAGAAGAAAAATATACTTTAGATCTTATGTGTGTATCAGTCTTTTATATACACGTTATAAAAAATTGAATACGAGTTTATTTAAAAAACGAGAAGAGGTCCGTATAATAATAATACAAATTTAAATAAGAAAAAGCTTAGTACCGTGACGGTAGGGTGGTGGAACAGAATGACAATTAAGAATTAATAATGCTAAGACAGAGTCACTTATGTTAAAAAGTAATTTAATAAGGAAGAGTCTGTCAGAGCAAAAAATTATTTAAATATATTTAAAAGACAAATGCACGTTTCAATCTTCTGCAGATCCTTTTCAATGTCATACAAAATTATAATGGTAAACGCTGAAACTTAAAACAAAGAAGGTCATGAAGACCGTAACAACAGTTACAAAATATTTAAAAAAGCATGAAATAACGGTCGGAATTACGCTTGGTGGAAAACGCAAATTTGAATAAAATGTCAAACAAAACATAATAAGTGGCTATAAAATGCTGCAAGAAAGCACAGCTCATCTCGACACTAAGCCTTAATACGCTATAAATGAAATCGGATAGAGAAAGCGTTCTAGGTTTTTAATTCCCTCGATGAATCCGTCCAAAAAAAATTAAAAAATTAAAGATGTCCATAGAAAAGTCATAGTAATAAAATTGAAAGTTATAATCCAATAATAGGTCACTCTAATATTCAATCTGTCTAAGCACGTCAAAAGAAATAAATTTGAACATAATCGATAGCAAGGTGGCAGTCTGTAAAAAGAAAGAAAAAGGACAAAGAGGGACAACACTTTATGCAATTAACAAATTGTCACAAAACTTATATACTAGTTAAAACTTAATTAAAATTACCAAACGTAATAGAGGTACATACTAGTCAGTAAGCAAAAATCAGATAGAAAAAGCCAAGTCAAAAATAATGAAAAGATGTGGAAACCAAGAAGGCCGAGATGTGAACTGGATATGAAAGAAAAAAGAAGTAGAAGAAAGTAGTAGAAAAGGAAATCGTAAAAGGAGGGGAAACAAAGAAAGGAAAAGGAAAGGGAAAAGGAAGGAATGACGACATGAAATGAAGAAGAAGGTGGCAGAGGAGCAGGAGGTTTTTGAACAGGGAGACATTTATTAATAATAGGTAGATAAGAATCGTCCAACAACGAGGTATCACTTCGGATGTTTAAACTATTTTTCTGTGGGCAGATGTACAACATCTCAGAAACTAGCCTATTCTTGTAGGAGAGTTCTTGGTCTAATATTGTCGTATCGTCCCAGTTAAAATTATGTCCCAACAATCTATTCATTGAAACTACTGTAAGATTATCAGACGATTTGTTAATATTCGAACGGTGTTTTTTTAGTCTGATAATTAAACGTTTGCCCGTCTGTCCTACATAAAAAGCATCACAATCATTACAGGTAATTTTGTAAGTAACGTTCGAATGATAAAATTTGGGTAGTGGATCTTTGTGTAATTTAATGAGTCCCTTTAGTTTATTATTACTAGAGAGAGCTAGCTCAAGACTATTGTTGTGTAAAGTCGTGTAAAATCTAAAAACATCATTCGAATATTAACAAATCGTCTGATAATTTTATAGTAGTTTCGATGCATAGATTGTTGGGACATAATTTTATCTGTTTGTTGGACGATTCTTATCTATCTATCATTAATAAATGTCTCCCTGTTCAAAAACCTCCTGCTCCTCTGCCATCTTCTTTCTAATGTTATGTCATCTTTTCCTCTTTTCTTTTCCATTCTTTGTTTCCTTCCTCTTTTTCGATTTCCTTCTCTACTCCTTTCTTTTACTTCTTTCTTCTTTCACATCCATTCTAGTTTCGGCCTTCTTGGTTTCCATATCTTTTCATTATTCTTGACTTGGTTTTTTTACCTAATTTTTGCTTACTGGCTAGTATGTACCTCTATTACGTTTGATAATTTTAATTAATTTTTAACTGGTATATAAGTTTTATGACAATTTTGTGTATAAAGTGCTGTCCCGATTGTGCTTGCTCTTTGTTCTCTTTCTTTCGTTTTACAGACTGCCACCTTGCTATCGATTACGTTCAAATTTATTTCTTTTGATGTGCTTAAACAGATTGAATTTTAGAGAGATCTATTATTGGATTATAACTTTTAATTTTATTACTACGACTTTTCTATGGACATTTTTAATTTTTATTTTTTGGACGGATTTATGAGGGAATTAAAAACCCAGACGCTTTCTCTATCCGATTTCATTTATAGCGTATTAAGGCTTGATATCGAGGTGAGCTCTTTTGCAGCATTTTATTTCACTTATTATGTTTTGTTTGACATTTTACACAAATTTGCGTTTTCCACCAAGCGTAATATCGACCGTTATTTCATGCGTTTTTAAATATTTTGTAACTGTTGTTAAGGTCCTCATTACCTTCTTTGTTTTAAGTTTTAGCGTTTACCTTTATAATTTTGTATGACATTGAAAAGGATCTGTAGAAGATCGAAATGTGCGTTTGTTTTTTAAATATATTTAAATAATTTTTTGTTCTGACAGACTTTTCCTTATTAAATTACTTTTTAACATTAGTGACTCTATCTCAGTATTATTAATTCTTAATTGTCATTCCGCACCATCACCCTACGTCCTAAGCTTTTCCTTATTTAAATTAGAGATTAGTTTTCTGGTGTCGCCGCATTGTGGCAAGTGAAGAAACACGTGTCATATTGGGTCGTTTTTATGTTATCTTTTTTAACAAAGCGAAAAGATGTCTGAGCATCTGACGTAGCGCAAGTATGGACCGCATCAAAAGCTCAATCAAATTCAAATCTGTGCCCGTTTAATTTTATAATAATATTACGCCATTTATATATCGGCCGTGACCATGGTTCTGGTGTGTGGATCTTTTCAGTTTTTGAAAATAAGACTTTGACGTGGCAAACTTACATGGCGCTGACAAGTGTTATGGCGCCGGTAAGGCAATTTCTATCAGAGTATTTTCACATTAAATTGTTCTTTCTTACAGAGATAATCCACTTAATCTTATACATAATTATGTTAATATGTACGAGCTTAAAATTTCTAGAAAGCAGTTTGAAGAAACCATCTCTCAGAGCATTTGTACAATTCGACAGTCAATTCACAGAAAAAGTAAACGACATTTTTGTGACATTGAGGTAAAAAATCTAAATTCTCAGTTTGTATTCTTTTATTTTTCTCTCTTTTTCTTAAATTCAACTACATAACTGTTGAAATTTATATTGAATATATCGAAATTTTAATTCTGTTACAATTTTGTTAAATATAGAATGGCTAAAATTTTGTTTTTTTACAGATGGAATCAATCCGAATTTATCGATTTACAAAGATACACAGTGCAATGTTTTTTCATCGAGGACTTAAAAGAGATTCAAATCTGCGACGATAAAAATATCCCAACTATAATATTGGAGCATACGGTGCATAAACTTAAACCTAATACGACATATTATTTCCGAGTACGTGCACATACTGAAGATGTTGCTGGTCCTTATTCGGATTTCATCAATGTGTCGACCACGCATGAAAATCCAATACCTAAATTATTATTAGTAACGGATGTTGGCATCCACATATTGGACTTAGATTCAAATACTATGAATAATATCGTTGAACAAAGGGACATAATAGATGTCGCTTACTGCGCGCAAGAAGATAAAATTTATTGGGTGCGCGGAAATAATTTAATGACATCGAAGATTACTGAAAATAATCTAATGACATCAAAGATTACTGAAAATAATATCATAAAAATAGTTACCTTTGATTATAAGGCATTATATGTGCTATCTCTCTGCATTGACTGGGTAGCAAGAAATCTATATATATACTATGATAATGGAGACTACTCTGCCACTGTAAAGTTCGATTTAACAATGTGGGAAAATGGAATAATTAAATTTGATAAGATTTATATGGCAAAAAAAGGTTTCGACCATTTAATTGTATCACCGTCTATGGGGTACGTTTACTACCGTTCACTGAAAAAATAATTTTCCATTCAAGATTTATGCAAATTTATAATTTTTTTTATAATTTTACGTAATTTTACAATTAAGATTATAAGTAAAAAGTAATATTAAGTTATTATATAATTATAAGAATTTCGAATTTTTACTACATATAAGTTTCTGTTTTTGTTAAAATAATGTTTTATAATGAGTAAAATAATTATATATTTTTTAGAATTTTATATCGCATATCATACAATTGGACGAATAAAAAATATGGTATGATGAAATATTTTGATGGAAAAAACGAGCAAATTGTTCAGATAAATTCATCACTTTGCCAATTTCCTTCTCTGGCTGAAATGAAACATACGATAATTGATGACATGAATAATGAGCCGTTAATTTATTGCTTAACTGAAAATCACGTAATTGTAACAAATATTAACGTTTCTATGTGCAACACGATTTTACATAAGAAAAGCATAAGTGATAATATAATCTTCGAATCTATAACGACTGACAAAATATACGTTTACATTTTAGTGTTTACTAAATCTAGGGTTTACTATCTCTATGCTTTGGAAAAGAAATATGCAAGTCTCAAGAGTGTAAATGTAGACGAATATGTTGAAAAGATAAAAATAGGCTTAGATAAATATTCTTTATATAAAATTTCCGCTTTTGGTAAATATTTACAACCATATCCTCCAACGAGATGTTTGACACCTTACGAAAAAGATTATAATTTTGAGAAGGTGACTGCAACGACAGACAGCATCATTGTAAATCTTCCGGAGCCGGTTGTAAAGAGTGGATGCAAAAAATATAATTTACCAACTACTATATATACTATCTCTGTAAGCTGTTTAGATCACAATCTCAACAAATATGAAGAATTTAATATGCAGTCGTACGAGCGTTATTACGAGATTCAGAACTTAACACCATTTACAATGTACAAGTTGAAGTTTAATTTAAGCAATTTTTACTTTGATCAATTGTCAATAAATCCATTCGAATCGAATGTGACACAAGTAAAAACTAATTTGGGTAAGCTTAATGCACCAAAAAACATAAGTGTTGTAGCTTTGACGCCTACTATAGCAGTGGTTCATTGGATGCCACTTAAGAAACTGATCTGCGAGGCCGTGACCTACGAAGTGCATTGGAAGTCAGTTACATTAGTGAACGACACCCAACAAAAGAGCAAACAATTTATCAATGTGCCGAAACGTATGGCAGACGGCAGATTTTTCACAAAAATGAAATTGTCGCTATCAGTACAAGATTACTTGATATACGTGCGTGTGTATCCAAGTAATTTCAGCGATTTCTACAATGAGAGTTTTTTCAAGATCGATCACATATACTCAGAACCAAACAATATTATTTTGAGTGAGGCCAACATAAATAGCATGAACATTTCATGGATTTCAAACATTAATCTGACGGTTTTTTCTGCACTAGAGTATAAAGATGTTGCAACAGAAAAGTGGCAAACAACAAATTATGTTGAAATAAATTATAACGAAAAAGTAATATATCATATCGAAAATTTGCAATCGGGAACTTTATACAAGTTTCGTTTGATATTGAGATACCTCGAATATGAGGAGAATTTTATATGGCCCGATGATGAAAGATTTATTTTTTCAACACATGGTAGCAAACGTGGTAAGCAAATGAAAATACCCATATAATAAGATTGCAGATATATTGAAGAATAATTTTATTGAAACATTGCAATATTGCAAATAGATTGCGAAACTCTGCTGAGTCATTGTTATAAGATAATATGTGATAAAATTAAAATGTCCGCTTTTTGCAATGAAACGTGTAGCAACATTATGGTGTAATATATTGAAAAGAATGCAATGTTATTGCAATCATTTAAAAATATTATGTATAAAATTTTTGTTTTTGATGGATAAATATCTTGAAAACATATAAATAAAATTAAAAAGTTTGATGTAAATAGAAGTTTGCAATATCTAAGATAATCATATCTAAGAAAATATATTGTAAAATTATATTTAAACATAATCATATAACATGAAATATTATATTTTTATTCAAAATTACTTTAAACTCTTACTTACAAATTATTTTTTTTATTTTAAATGTTCTATTCACTCTTATAATGGGTACTTTATACCTATATAAACATTAGTTATAGAATTAATTAAACATTACTAATTATATTTATATTTAAAAATTTTAAAGATCCGTATAATTATATATATTTGCATGTGAAAAATATATAAAAATGCATAGAAAAATATAATGATAGTTATAATAGTATCTATTCTGAATATAATAAAAAAATATATTATTTTTGAAGATTAACATCGTATTCGTACATAAAGTGAAAATATATCAGAAAATATATTAAAATATTGATGTAAAATGTTATCTATATTTTAATGAAAAAATAGCAATGCTTATCTTTAGCTTAGAATTATATTTACTCTACTGATATTATTTCTGTGCCATTAATTCATTTGATTTCTGCAAAAGAATAAAATTTATCGCATATATACAAATATAAAAAAATAGATAAATTAAAGATTGTTATAGTTTTACACTGTTTTCTAAATATAAATATCATTTTGCTAATATCTAATTCATACTTTGTTCATTTATATTTCTACAATGTTTCCGTAATGTTGCACTGCAATTTGTAATATTGCTATATTGTTGCAAAGTAGTTGTAACATTCTGTGCTGCATAGATATTATAATATTATTATATGCTAATTTTTTTAGATATGAATAGTCCTAAAATTAAAAAAATTAAAATTTTGTAATAAAGTCATAAATAAAAGTAAATATGTAAAAACATACGCACACGAAGATATTAAAATTATATTTTTGCTTAATATAGATATTTCGAGCACTCCTGGAATAACACCGGAAAAATATTACTTATTATTATTGATGTTAAGTTTATTCGTTATAATTATAATTTGCGTCTTCTACTTTTATCATTGTAAGTATATTTGATGTAGATATCGACTTGAATTGTAGATTATACATATACATATATCTGATAAAATATCTAAGAATTTACTGAAAATAGTAATTTACTTATATAAAATTAAATGAATGAATTTACTAAAAAGTAATAAATTTTATAACACATATTATTACATAATTCAATCCAAATTTTATAATAGTATATCGGCAACGCAGAAATAATAATGAGCAACTTTTGTCTTCAACAATGGTCGACATGGAATTAGCGATTCTACATGAAGTACCTTGCCGAAATACTGAATTCAATATGATTTACAGTCCTATGTTACATTATAATCCGGATGAATGTGTGATAACTAAAATCGCACTTAAACAAATTACATTTACAAAACTTATTGGTAGCGGCGCATTCGGAATGGTAAAAATTAATTTTTTCAAGCAACGTTTCACGATATTAATTTCTAGATCAACAAAACAGATACGTATAATAATAAAGACACGAATTACATGAATTTTTATTATAGATCATAATATAAAATTTAGGTGGAACAACATACATGCATTTTATTATGTATTTTTCGTTTAATTATTTAATATAAAATAAAATATAACGTTACTTGACATTAAACTATATACATTTTCTAATGAAGTACGCATGTAAATTTGTGTGAAATATTTCGCAGGTGTTTCAAGGAAGTGTGAAAAACTTAGAAAGATCGGGCACAGAGATATCCGTTGCAATAAAAACGATACCAAAAGATGCTTCTTCTCATGAGAAAAAGAAATTGTTAAAGGAAGCCGAGCTTATGAATCATTTTCGACACAAACATCTATTAAGATTGTTGGCCATTTGTTTAGATGGGGATTCTCCGTTACTAGTGTTGGAATTGATGGAAACTGATCTGTTAAAATATTTGAGAGATTGTCGAAATTTGCAAGCGTCAGATACGTATGCTTTGCGTTTGCAGGATTTGCTCGCCATGTGCGAAGATGTTGCGCGAGGCTGTTGCTATTTGGAAGAATTGCGTTTGGTACATAGAGATTTAGCGTGTCGAAATTGTTTAGTATCCGCGAGAAATCGCGAGAATCGTATCGTCAAAATTGGAGATTTTGGACTAGCTGGAGATATCTATAGGAATGATTATTATCGCGTGGTAAATATAATTATTTAAAAAATTAATTATTAAAAAAGTGACTTCTTTTGAAAATTCTTTCCATTTTTTATCATAATAATATTGTACATTTTCTTTTTGAATAATAATAAATATAAATAAATTATTTTTATTTATATAAGACAAGAGATGAATGAACATTTTTCATTTTAAACATACTCTAAAAATGGACAACTTGAATAAAAAAATTAGGTTTTAGTTTAAATCATGTTTCAGAGAGGAGAAGGTCTGTTTCCTGTTCGTTGGATGGCACCAGAATCTTTGGTGATTGGAATATTTACTTCTCTAAGTGATGTTTGGTCATTTGGGGTATTAATGTGGGAAATTACATCGTTGGGTGAGGAACCTTATAATGCCAAGACTAATGAAGAAGTGGTAAATTATGTACGTGCTGGAGGCAGGTTGCCGATGACTCTTAATTGTCCGTCACCATTGTATCAGTTGATGCTACGTTGCTGGAGTACAGCGGATGCTAGACCAAATTTCAAATTTTGTCTGAAAAATATTATAGTATTAAGAGAGAACATGGAAGATGCCTTATTGAGTCCAGTCGATACTTTTTAGCTATAGATATAATTAAATTAATGTTTATTTTCTGTTCCGAACGATTCCATAAATCTTGATGTAAGAAAAATATTTATAGAATATTTCTAAATTGATTCTGTTATTTTCAGGTTTAATCTTAATATAAGATGTATCAATGAAGATAAAAGAAATTTTTTAATTTTACTTTCCATAAAATTTTGATTATTAAAAAATTTTACATCTGTTTTCATTGTACAACAACGTAATATAATGATACATCTAACTTGATTTTTTAAGTAATCGATTCAAAACCTAATAATTGCAATTATAAATATATATAATATATATATATATATGTATATAATAACAAAATTATTTTTGAATTTATAACAGTTATCATGCACGAACTTTTTACATTATTTGAGATAAGTATAAAAATCTTATCTTTATATTTAATGACTTACTATATATTCAAATTATATTGATGATTACAAAAGTATGCAGTTGTAAAAATGAACTACATTTATTGTTTTATCTCCATTAACTATTTAATAAAACTAATAATGTATAAATATATATTTACACACAAGTACGGTGTATCATTTCGAAAAAGTTCTTGCGTGTACATATATCTTTGTTAATGAGTAAAAAGTTTTATAAATTTATAAAATGTTTGAAAATACATCTATTATTATGCACGAATTTAAAAAGAGACCTTTATATTAAAGTTTAAATTAAAAATCTTCTTATGCAGAATGTCTCTTTAATAATATAAAAACATTTTTGAAAATAACAATGTATATCATTTTATATATGAATGGACTAAATAAGTCACAAAACGGACCGAAGCAACATAGAATTATTTTCAATTATATTTCACGTAATTAAAGTGTTTATTACTAAGTGTTTATTACATTTTTTGGAAATAGAGTAATTACAATAGTTGAATTAAAATAATAAAGTAATTAATATTATAAATTTTTATTTATTTATTTATATTAATATATTATATTAATAATTTATATAATTGTTATGTATTAAAAAAAATAATATATGAATAAAATAAAGGATAATTAAATAAAATAAGTTGAAAAAATATAAGAATATGCACATATGAGTTATAATTTTTTTTTTTTTTTTTTTTTTTTTTTTATTATGTTTATTTTAGTTATACTATATTATGTGTTTATATTATATTAAGTTAATATTAACTAAAGTTATAATATATTATATAAATTATATAAATTATTATATTATTAGGTTATACAATGCAAATAATGATAATAATAGTTCGTGCAATTAATTATATTATTTATTTTAGTTATGTGTGTACTGTAAATTTGTACTTATTTATGTGCAAAAACGGTACGGCGTTACGTATCGCTTGATTCAAACTGCATTATGTGAATGTACAGAAAACGTATAAATCATTTTTTTTTAAATCCATTATTACTTTTCTTATAATCAAAATATCTTTTTATACAGTAAACGTTCACCTATGCCAAAGAGAAGATACTCAGAAATAAATTAATATAAGAAGTTTAATATATAAAATCCAAATTGAACAATTATATATACATATAATTATTTTTATTTATAGAACTATTTTTGTTTTATATACATATATATATAACATTTTTATCAAATAATTTTTAAAGATTTTAATTCTAGATATATATTGTGATCGTGACCATAAAAAGAAGTCTAAAAACATAATATTAGAAGATAATAACTTGCAATTCGTCAAAACTGAGTTTTAAGGAATTTATCAAAAATATATGTATACATATGAATAAATATCAATTCGATTAGCACATCAGAATTAACAGAGGAAAACAATTAACTCAGAATTCAACGGGAACCGATTGAGTGCAAACATTTACGAAAAATGCAAATTATGTTTCGAATTTTATGTGTTTTATTGAAAGATTTAGTACTGACAAAGGCAACTATCGAAGGATTATATCACTTCAAACAGCCTCCAGAAAAAGTGTTTCCATGTGTTCGGATTTAAATTCAAGTAGGTAAGAGATATTTTTCCCTTGATTAAGAAACAATTGAATGTTATTGGAGCTAGTGTGACTAAAAATGAATGATAATAAATTATATATTTTTTCTATATTCTTGTTCATGAGTATATATAATTATATGCACATATTCTTATCGAGGCATTATCGGTTTATACTGATTTATAGTATCATTTCCGGGATTTGTTTGTTAAAATATTATGACAATTGAGAAAAAACTTGACAAGGTTATAAATAAATAAAAGAATTTATATAATTTCTATGACTAATATTTAATAACTGTAAAGAAACAATATTTTTAACTTTTTTATTCCTAAAGTACAACATTAATAAAACTTTAGTAAAATCGTCAAACTTTTAAAAAGAAGTTTGAGTTATGGTAAAATTGAAGAAGAGTTAACTAACCTATCATGAGAAAAAATTGAATCGTTTGACAAAATTGTTTTAATAATTGTAAAGAGCTACACTTTTGCTTGTACTATTTGCTAAAAGCTGTTATGAATCCTCATTGACTCTTGTTATTTATTGATTGATTTTATTTTTGACATGAGTTGTGTTTATTATGATATACAAGATATCTTAAAAAAAATAAATAAAAAATAGATTTTATGATATGAATAAAACTACATTACATTCAATTTATATCATTTAGGAATGGTATATATCATACCAGTATTATTAAGCAAACAAAAAACAAATGGGAATTTTTCGTTTAATTTTATAATTTTATAATTTATATAATTTATCATTAAAAGCACTAGAAACAACCGATTCAACGATATTTACTTTATTCTTTTCGTATGTTACACTTTATGAAGGATATTTTAATGTCCGAGAAAAGTGATCATCATATACTAAATTTCAAATCTGATCGGAGTCATTCTGATAGCACTGCGAGAAATGAGCGAGAAGTCGATGAAGTTACACTTGTAAATATTTCTATCATCTCAGAATCGGTAAGTTGCAAAAATGCATATAACAATAATGACAAAATCTATGACGAAAAAGTGTAAATATAATTTAAATTCAAGAGAGAATAGAAATCAAATCTAAAAATATCTTCTAATAGTAAGAAGAATATAAATTCTAATTCCGTCCAAAAAGAAATAGAATAGCATAATGTAAACATAACATTGTACATAAAAATTGTCATGATTTAAAGTAAAGTCAATTTTATTAATTTGTTACTTCGTTTCAAAGCAATCGCAAATATTATACTTTTAATTTCTTAAGTTATAGGAATTTTTGAAAAGTACTTCTCATTTTATTAAAAGTTATTTATTCGTTTTTACCATGAATTAACGATTATTTTTCTAAATCATGAGTAATGAATAGTTTAATAAATAATCAATTAATCTTAATCAATAAATTAAAATATTTCTATAATTTAATATTCCTCCCGCAAATATTTTATATTACAGAAAATATTTCGGCAACGAGAGAATTATCAATAACACCGTGTTCGACCTTGATAAACAGAATCGCGCTATTGTTAATACATTACATAGCTTTATTATAATTCGCAGTGAGTAGTGATGTGCATAGTGACGTTTCATATATTATCAAATTCTTTCTGTACATAGTCAATCTTGGCGATATAAACAGTACCGCGATAATGTTTCTGACTTACATTCGCTCAGTGGCTCTTGAGCAGTGTAGTAATGATGGGAGACGGTTCATATATTATCAAATTCTTTCTCTGAATACAATTGCAAGTGCAATGAGGAACTTTTCGTGAATGAGTGTAAGTGCAACGAAGAATTCAAACGAGTACAAGGAAGATTGAAGTGCCACGAGGAAAAAGCGAAAAAAAGAAGAAGGTTTTCGAAATGGATGGACCAATCAGATCTGATGTAAGTCATCAATATAAATTATATATCACATTTATTATTTATTATATTGTTGCGTTCCCGCGTCCCGTCCCGCTGAATGTATTCGTCACCCGTTGAATTCTTTCGAAGAAAATTGTTTCCGCGCACGTTGTCAAGATGTTGTTAAAAACAACGACTGTCAGAGAGTCTGAGCGCAGCTGTCAAGTTGTGCGGACGCGCGTCTATTTGTGATCCGTTTTACGATTATTCTGAATTCTTGTATTACTCGCAATTTATTAAAATTCTTGTGCAACTTAAATTATTAGTTACGAGTGCACGAGCGTCAGCGTATGCCGATCGTGTCGCGCGTTCGATATATATCGTTCCGCGGACGCAACAATATATAAATTATTTATCATTAGTATATATTTAAAATATACATATTTCACGTTTTATTTTATTTCTTTGATAGTGATTTAATAATGATTTTAAATTATAACATATATAATACATGTATTTTTTAAAAATATTCCATTTTATTTTAAAATTATTAAAACATTTATAAAATTTTTTATTAATATTTTCAGATACTTCTTATGTTTTATAAAATATTTCATATTAATATATTTATTTAAATATTCCACATATGAATATTCCACGATGAATAAAAAAACAGAAATTTTTTTATTCATCGTATTACTAAAAGTTTATATTTAAAAAATATAAATTATTTTGTAATTAAGCGATTTATAATATTAAAATATATCTATTTAAAAGTAAAAACTAATTGAGCGCAATAATTAGTTTTAAAATCAATTATTTTGAACATTGCTTTATATAAATTGCTTATATAATAGATTTTCTTTTATCCTTTATATTTTTATTTATCGTTTATATTTGCGAATTTAAATTTATGTACTATATTACAAAATAAATTTCAAATTACATATTATATTATATACAAAATTATATATAATATGTACAACCATCCCGTGGGGTACATCTTGTCGCGGTGGGAGGGCTTAGTACTTGGATGATGCCTTGAGGTTTATCTTAATTTTTCAATTTATGATAAATCTTAAGGTGTCTGAATGGGAAGCTAAGTACTCTTTTGCGTCGTCGGTGCCGTCAACGTGCCGCGGATGGCAAGCGCTTCGTCAACGCGTTGCGTTTTCGCGTTGTAATATTCTCGCGTCGTCGCGTTTTCGCGGAACTTTTGGACTTTTTCATATAAAAT